TGTTCGTTTCTTACGATCCTGGGTAAGCATCCTCAACTACTATGAAAAGAGCTCATAAAGCAATGAAAGAAAACACGTCTGCTCTCTGTTGCAGTCTGTGTCCCCTTGATGTGTATGGTCTCCAACTGGCTTGTTGTCATCCCAGAGCAAGGGATCAGAGATGTGTCCCGCAAGGAAGTCTTTTCCTAAGGATGTGCATGCTGTGGTTAGCAACATATCTGGCATAATGAATTATCTCTTCCCAATGGCAGGGTATTCTCAGGAATATTGGTTTTGGTGGAGTGACATTTCTTGGCCCATAATATGTATCACCAAACATGCCCATCCTTTCCCAACAATACTCCAGGAAGGCTATGTCTGGAGGAGGCCTGTCTCTTCCCAGACTTGGGTGCCTAGCCAGTTGATGAGACACAGTCCAAGGGTTGAAATTCATGTTACTCTGCAGACTGTGGCCTCTCAATCATGATGATGACCAACGCCTTCTGAAGCACCCCAGAGAAATAGAAGTACAGTTCAAACTTTCCCCTCAAAACCGACAAAACATGACATTAGCAAACATAGTATGGCTCTGGGAAGCCTTGGAGTAGATGGGCTATACAGGGGGTGCTCACATATATCCTAAAGCCATGGAGGGAATTGTAGTTGTTTATGCATGAACGAATAGGCAATTTAGAGCCTTCCTTCCAAATCCCCAGTCCTCTTGCCAAGACCTTCAGGCCAAGCTATGTACAGACACTTTCACTTTACCAGCAGGAAAGGTGTTTTGACTGAGTCTTAGTGGGGACACTAATGAGGTTCTTTAGAGATTGAGAACATTAATGAAAATAATTTCAGAATAGACTTGGCAAAATAAATGGTTCACCATCTTGGACTTATCCTTGGAGATGACAATGTTTTCAGTTGCCAATGTGAAAAGTGAAGCTGAGTGAATAAATGTTTTTGCCCAAGGTCTAACAGCTTAGTTATGATCAGAGTCAGGCCTATATTTATGATGGCTCATTTGCACTTCTACTCCTCTATGCTGAGTGGTTGGTACAGTGAACTAGCCAAAAATGGCAGCTGGCTCTAAGCGTTTAGGGTGGACAAGGGATTGAAGTAGACATAAATAATAAAAAGGACCTGCACAGATGTTTTTGAGCTTGGGAGAAATTCTATTTATTAATTTCCTTTCCTTTCTTCTGATATGCTTCTACATTTTCCATTTATCATCAGACCAGTATTTTTTTAACTTTAGTTAGAATGAATTTTTAAATGACATTTTTGTGATACCTGCACACAGTTTAAAAACATGTTCTTTGCCTGGCCAGGCGTGGCTCAGCAGTTGAGCATCGACCTAGGATCCAGGAGATCGTGGTTTGATTCCCGGTCAGGGCAACACGCTCAAGTTGCGGGCTCGATCCCCAGTCGGGGGCGTGCAGGAGGCTGCTGATCAATGACTCTCTCATCATTGATGTTTCTATCTCTCTCTCTCTCTCTCCTTTCCTCTCTCTGAAATCAATAAAGATATATTTAAAACAAAACAAAACAAAACAAAACAAAACATGTTCTTCTTTCTCATCAACTTTTCATTTGCTGAAACTCTTGCCACTGTTAAATTGCAGCTGTTAACATTTTCTCAGGGACTTATACGAACAGTCTCAGCGCTCACTTGCTGTTAGAGGCATTAACGGAGGGGGGCGGGGGAAGTATATATGTTTTGAGAAAAAGAGAGAACACATAGTATTATCATGAGAAGAGAACGTATTGGGATTTTTAGTGTATTTGAGAAGAAACACATGTGTTCAGAATCATTGCTCCAGCTTTGGGTGCTTAGATTAGGATCATCTTTGCCCCCGATTTTTCATGCTACTCTGTCTTTTTTCTTCCACAGGTAACAAGGGGTTTTATTTTCATAACAGCTTTATGAGTATAATTGATATACAATAATCTGTACATATTTCATGTACACGATTTGATAAGTTTTGACATACATACAAGTAAAATCATTATCACAATTAAAATAATTAATATATTCATCACCTCCAAAAAAAGTTTTCTTTTGATCCTTTGTAACCCTTCCTGCCCATCTTTTACTGTCCCTCCACAGTCTGGGACCACTGATGCTTTCTGTCATGATAGATTTCTAGGATTTCTATAAAGCATATCATATAGTACATACTCATTTTTGTCTTGTTTCTGTCTTTCAGAATTATTTTTAGGTTTATTCATGTGTAGCATGTATCAATGTGTTTTTGTTTGCTGCTAAGTAGTATTCCACTATATGCTTCTACTAACTGTTGATGGTTGTTTGGGTTTTTCCAGTTTTCTGCTATATGAATAAAGTTACTATGAGTTTTTTTGTTTTTGTATGGACATTCGCTTCATTTCTGGAATGACTGAGAACCTGTATATTTAGCTTTTTAAGAAACTCTCAGTGGTTTCCAAAGTGGCTGTACTATTTTACATTTCCACCCAGAGTGTATAAGAGTCCTAACTGCTCCACATTCGTGCCGATACTTGATATGGTTGATCTTTTAAATTTTAGCCACTCTAGTAGATGTGTAATAATATATAATGGTAGGTTTAATTTGCATTTCCTTAGTGACTAGTGGATGTTCTGCTTTCTTTCTATCTATATATCATTTCTGGCGATACACTTATTCAAATCTTTTGCTCATTTAAAAAATTGAGTTCTTTTTTTCTATTGAGTGAAACTTTCTTTATATATTATTTATACAAGGCCTTCATCAGATATACCTGTTGCAATTATTTTCTCTCACTCATTTGTATGATGTTTCAATCTATGAACAGTATCTTCTGAAGAAGAGAAATATTTAATTGTGATGAATTATAATTTATCAATTTGTCCTTTTGTGGATCATACTTTTATTATTGCATTTAAGAAATCTTTGCATAACTCAGGATCACAAAGGTGTTCTCCTGTGTCATGTGGTTTTATGACTTACACTTAGGTCTGTCATAAAACTGATCCATTTTGAGTCAGTTTTTGTAAGTTGTGTAAGGTATAGATCAAAGTTAATTTTTTTTTTTTTTTTTTTACATACAAACGTCCAATTGTTCCAGAAAAATTTGTTGGGAAAAACGATCCTTTCGCCACCGAATTGTCTTTGCACCTTTGTCTAAAGTTGGTTGCCTATTTTTAAACTATTGTCACATTGGTTGATTTTTCTGTCTTTTCACCAATACCACAATGTTTTTATTACTGTAACTTTGCAATTACATGCAAAGTAAGATATTGTTAGCCTTGCAACTTCACCCTTTGCCAAAGATGTTTTGGCTATTCTAAATCCTTCCTTTGCATTTCCACATGAATTTTAGAATAGATTTGACAATTCATACCAAAAAGTCTGCTGGGATTTTGATTGAGATTGAATTGAGTCTTCTGACCATGAACATTTATTTAGATCTTTATTTTTTGTTAGCAAAGTTTATTAGTTTTCAGTCTTTTACACATTTTATCATTTAAATAGATACACTTAAATGTAAATAGATACATTTCATTTAAATACATTTACTTAAAATTATTTTCACTTCTTTGGATGAAAACCAATATCACTTGCCATAATTGGAAGGTAACTTTGATAATCAAATTAAAACAAAAAAAAAAAATAGTGTTAAATTCCAGGTAAATACTGTTACTTGCTGAGGCTCTTTTCTTTATTTATTATTTTAAATCATAATTAACAAGTCTTAAAGAATTCTAAAGACATCCTTACACCATGCTGCACACTTTCCTTTGTAACCAGCTCTTAAAAGTAATAGAAAAAGGGAACTATTTTCTTACTAAGTAATTCATTGTATTTTAATAGTCCATGTAGCACTAAAACTCATTTCTCTCATGTCAAATGGGAGTTCCACAGTAAGGGAATAACTAGATTTTAGGCAGGCGTGGCCTGAGCAACGATACGGAGGTGAGAGAAAGTTTGGGTATTACAGCATTTGCTGAGGTTAGGAATTCCTAGAATGTCATTTCTAAACCTTGGTTGTATTATATTATCACCTTGAGAGTTTAAAAAACTCAGACCAAAGAAATCAGAATGCCTGGACATGAGTGTCTATAGCTTTAAAAGTACCCTAGGGAGTTCCAGTGCTTAGGAAGGGTAGCAACCCCCATGACAGGACATCCCCACGCGGATATGGGGGGGCGGCGATGGCACTGATGCTGTGGAGTGGGACGGGCAGGAGAAAGCCCAGACCCATTAGCAGGCCCTTTCCTGGACACCCGATGTCGACAGGCAGAATGCTAAAAATGCCATTATTACTTTCCATCCTAGGCTAGGATATGAATTGTCTGTCAAGGCTGTTGAATATGATCTTGAGGGGCGACAAAGCCCAGGCTCTCCTGTCCATTAAGAACAAAAACTCATGAATTTTCTTCCTCAAATGCTCTTTTCTTTTCAAGCAATATGATCTTTCCTTACAATTAAAGGCATTAAATGCATATTTCAAGAATGCATCTTATGATAGCATATTTAAAGAATGGTCTAAACGACCTTCCCCAATACTTTACAACAGAAATGTGAAGCACTTTTGAGACAGCGTGTGTATGTATATATATATATATATATATATATATTTACACACACACACACACACACACACACACACAC